AAAAAAAAAAAAAAAAAAAAAAAAAAAAAAAAGAGAGAAGCTGGAGCAGAGTGAACAGAGTGGGGAAGTGGGGTAGTACTGATTAACTAGCCAGTCTTGCATGAGAAGCAGAAACCTCATGGTCTTCACTCCCTTGAAAAGGAATATAGGCTTGTTCTCATAGTTCCAGAAGCTGTTTAATGATTGTAAGGGTGTATAAGGATGGCTTTATTGTTTCAAATAAACTAGTAATATTTTCAGGAAAAAAATATGTGGAGAAAAGGTTTATGTCCATAATATGATGAATGAAATGTGTACAGTTTCCCCTTTATTTTTTTTAAAGGCGACTCTAAAACTGCAGAAGTTTAAGACTCTGTTACATGGTCTACTTGTACTGTGAGTTTGTGGTAGTGTAAATTCAAGGCCACTGCAAAGGATTAGAAGTGAAGCCATAAGCTCAGGAGACAGGTTAGCGGAGAGCTAGTGAGAGCACATACATCAGAAGAAATTGTAGTACTGATGGGGTTTGTTGTTAGATAGACAAGGATTTTCCCTTTGCTTGCTTGCTGTGTGTGTATGTGTACAGCATATGAAGTAACTGGTTCATCATAACAAACTAAGAACTACAGAGTAAACATCAGGGACAATGTAGAGTAATAAATAACAGTTTGCTTTGTAACATACTGTGAAGCTCAAATTAGCAGTGCTTTGTAAAAGTGACATCCATAAAACCTGCCTATCACTGGTATTCACACACTGTCGTGACTTACAGATGTGTGTTTCTATTTATCAGGATATACTTTTTCATAGAAGATTAACTTCAGTGTGCATATATTTCTTTCCCTTGATCTTTCTTTTGGTCATGGCAGCATGCAAAGGTACTGCTGTCCTGATCTATACATCTTTTGAAAAAGGAAAAAAGAATGACATGTGATATGATGCTCTTGTTCAGAACTGTAGCATGTAGCAGTTCTGAAATTCTATTTAGTGTCTGTATCTCATTGTCTGATTTATGTGGGGTTTTTTACCACGTATTTATCTTTTAGAACTTCAGATGCTATTTTTTTTTCATTGGGGTGAGATTTGTTTAAATAGAAATCTCTTTTTTTTTTTTTTTCATTTTCCTTTTCTTAGTATGCCTTATTATGAAACACACACTAAAAAGAAATTGAAATTATTAAAGGCTTCTTTTTCTATGGTTGTGATTGTAATAGCCAGGCCAAACTATTAGCTAGCAAAGCTATTATATTAGCAAAACTATTATATTTGAAAAGCTGATATTGCAGTGTCAGATATATCATTAAGCATCCAGCATGTTCTCAGTATTTGCGTGAGGTCTCTAAGATCATAACAGAAGCAACTGCTGAACTGACTGTTGCTGTTTTATTTATCCAAAAAATGATCAGCAATTAAAAAATGCCACGGTCAGTGTTTTGAACAGATGGTGATCCATGTTCCAAAGTCAAGGAAGGAAACTTAAATAAATAGATATCCCAAGATCTCAATCGTTCTTATTGGAGAAACAGACTAATGAGCAGCATCAGGAGTCGACATTAGGAAATGGAAATATGTAGTGAATCATGACATGTCTGTCAGCTCCCAACAGTGTAGATCCAATCAGTCGTGGTGAATAAATGAGATGACTTATTTCTAAAAAAATTATGCTTTGTGAATCACTTTAGGCATGAGCCCAAGATCTCTCTTTACAGATTGCATTAGCATTATATAGGGAGGGAAGGTTTTAAAGGGATAGTAACGAGTATCTTACCCAGATGATATAAGAATTTGAATGTATTTTTGGAACCTGGCTTATACAGCAGAGACAGAAGAGGAATAGGAGGACCCCTTCTCCTTTCTCCCTCCATACCCAAAAATATTTTTACATACACAGATTTCACCTTTCTGTTATTTGGTATAGATCTAAAAACAGTTAGACATCACTGCTATAAGTATGTTTTCCATTGGAAGAAGCTTATTAATAAATGACTGTCCCTTTCTTAAGCACTTAACCTAACCATGTTGAGCTGATAATCCTGACTAAAGTTTATTGTGTTATCCAGCATTCAGAAAGAATGATCAGCTATTTATGACTGAAATTCAAATTTATCAGCAGATATCTATAGAGCATTACTTAAACAGCTATAGTGAAAGCTTGATGGGAAGTTAGAGGGTAAGTGATTGTATTTTGGGCTTTACTATATCTGACGAGTGTTTGTTTATTTTTTTGAGTGTAGAATTTGACTCTCTTGAAACATCCTTTGCTCTTCTATCTATATCCCAGTAAGGTAGTTGCATACTTGTCAAGGTATCTGTAAGGAGGAAAAGGTGGACGTTTTCTACATCATAGTGAATGCTTTATATATTCCTCTTCATGTGTCACTTGCAGGAATAAAGGGGTTGATTTCTGTGCACATCTAGCACAAGAGGGCAGCATGATCTGTTTTATCCCAGTCCAGCATTAGAACAGCTCGTTAGAAGGATAACAAAATTTACCTGCTATGTTTTTAGAGGTGATATTTGAGGAGTGAATTTTCAGCCTCTCCACTGAGCAGTAGTAAAGTGGTTCCGTTCAGTTCTCCTCATTATCTGCAAGTATAATACTTTCTCTTAATCTTTTACGTGGTAAGATTTTCAGCTTTGCGTATTGCTGAGTTCAGGAACTTTTTTGGCTTTGTAGTTAGTGGCCAAAAGTCAGATAACCCTATTGAGTCTGATGCTTTAGTCCTGTCAAGGAGACCTTCTTCAGCCATTATTCATTCCTTTTAATTTCTTTTTTCAAGATGTTTGTATCATTTCAAGACAAATTTGATAGAAAGCTGGGTAAAAGGCACCAGGACTTCAGCAGCAGTGACTTGAGTTGGGGGTTCACTCTTTTGAAATTAGTTTCTTATTGATAGTTTAGGACACCCTAGTTTGGACAAGCTTCAGGATTTGATTCAAGATTACTTGCTTAGCTTGTAAATGAATTGTTCTTTTCTGGGATTTAGGGACAGAGATTTCTTTAGAGAAGGGAGGCTAATGTGTAACTGCATCACTTTCAGTAATGGTAGTTTTAGTAGAGATTGTGTGCAATTTTGAATTGCATTGAGTTTAGGAAACTGAAACTTACTGCTGCTGTGCTGATGGGTGCTATACGAATGAATGAATGAATGATATACATGAATTTGTTCAGATAAAATAGGAATATCTTCCCCCTCCACAGATATGTCTAAAATTCAAATTGAACCAGAACCACTACAGAAATGCATATGAAAATCTAGTGCTTTTTTTTAAAAAAAAAAAAAAAAAAAAAAGTATCTCTTCAAACTCTTGGTCCTAAGAGTTCATAGAAAGAGAAGAAATACTTTGGCAGATAAGATGGCATTTCTAGCCTTCCTAGAAACAGAAAGCATGGAATTTTGTGGTGGTTGTCCTCTACTTGTTAAATTAGCAGATTTTTTTTTTTCCCATAAATTCTTTGTGGAAGTATTAAGTAAGCATTGATCCTTTTGGGTGCTTATCCAGACTTTGAGACTTGACCAGGTTGTAAAGAGAAATATTCTCCTGTTTTGGCAGTCAGAAATGACATGCTGAACTGATAGCTAATAGCAGCACATAAAAGCAATATCCAAATATTGAAAGATAAAAATGTGAAAGAAAGTTGTTATAATGAAGAGTTTTTCTTTAAGGCATAAGGATTTTAATTAGGGTGTTCGTAAATCAAGTGTTGAAGCATCTATAATTTGACAGAGAAAGTTTCTTCATAGGATTAAAAGCATGTTCATCAATGCACAAGTGCCTGTCTGCATCTTATCTGACAGAAACG